TCGTCCGTCTAACCATACAAGCTCCCTGATCCCATGAAGATAATTTTTTACGTCTCTGTGCTTCAGTTCTGAATCTATATTTATCAAATGTCCACCGTCATCTTGACATTGTTTTTCTGCAGCATCTTGTTTCGCTTTCGTTTCGTAAAATTTCATGCAGAACCCATTCTCAGTAACATTGTATCCTTCGCGACAGAGAATTTCGCAAAGTTCAAAAGTTTTTTCATTTGTTTCTTCCTTCTTTGTTGTGACATTTTTCTGGCACTTTCTCTGCCTTGACCTTGTTCCAAAATATTTGAGCACAGACGGTTTGCACATAGACCACTGCGTCCATTCTGTACAAGCATGAAACTTATTAATTGTCTGTCCTAGTAATGTCAGTAAAGGATTTTTAATTTTCCTTCCTAGTAAAATCAGGTCCTGTCCATCAAGAACATCCAATGCTGTACCATCACTGTCGGATACATTGGCACATGTTGTAAAAAATACAGCGGTATTTATCAAAATAGCACACAAAGCAAAACTTGACAGAAAACTCATTTTAGCTGATGAAGGTGAAAACTTAAACTGTTTCTTTCTTCCTTTATAACCGACATCAGCTAGAGATACATGAAGCGCTCTGCCAAGAACAATGTTATTGCATATGTACTTATTTGTTTAACATCTGTTTACCATAACATAATGAAACTTTTAAAGGGGAATCTTGGTAAACTTATGAATTCATCTGTGTAGATAACCTCCCCCCCCCCCCCCCTGCAAACAAAAGTAGAAGTTGTACTCTACTGTCAGAGGTTGGCTAATCTGTTGTGAACGCTAATCCTTCTACAATTCATGGGCTCCTGAGGGACGGATATTCCGATCCGAACCGCAACATATGACATATATAATGTAAAAATAACCTCGCTCAGTATGGGACGAACAAGTGAAATATGTACATTGCTTGCACAAAGATAATATGAAATTGTGTTCGCAAACAAAAAGCCCAGAGGCCTAGCGCAATAAGGCAATTGACCTTGTTCGAAAGGTATAATGCAATTTCCATTTGCATTAGAAATCCCGATGTCTAACTAAAATAACTAATAGTGGATAGATCTATACAGATATGTGAATAAGTGTATAATTGGTTTAAGAACAATAATTTGTTTGCATGACGTCAGAACTATTGTCATTTGTAATTTTGCTAATTACCAAAGCCCCACCCAACCCCTTATCAAATACCTTGCTATCAAAGTGGCGCGAAGACGGCGGAGGGGTATGTTAGAGCCAGCACAGTCAAAATTGTAGTAAAAACAATTACAATTCAAACGTAATAAAATTTGATTTATTGTTTGTATAATTCAATGGTTATAATTATATAAAAAAATTACAATATTTTATATGACAACAAAGCTGTTGCTTTAAAAAAAGTATGTAAATGCCCAAATGGGCATAGGCATTTATTTAATGGTCATATATAACATATGTTTGTATCAAAGGTTTTATTAAAATAAGATTTATCCTTTATTAAAGTGATTTTAACACTATATTATATTTTGATCATTGTTTAAGAACATTGGCTAGACTATTCCTTTAACCTGAAGTGTTTGTTATATTACATTATTTTTTGTACATTAGTTTTGGGTGACTATAGTTGTATTGCAATAAATTGTGTTTGCAAACTTTTTACTTATCATTTGCATCTTAACATTTATACATGTAATCAATGCTTGATTCGCAAAAAAATATAACAAATTTTCCTTTGTTAGAAATCTAAATCGAATCAATAGATAACTTTTTTAAGTTTTGTAATAGCTAACATTTTGCTCTACAAGATGCATTTGATAAGATAAAGGATATTTTTGTTGTAAAAAAGGGATTACACGTTGACAAAACCCCATTTCAATTAACCGGTATAATGATAGCATCTGTTACAGATATAAAAAAAAAGTAGCTGACAGATAGATACACCTGACTTTCAGAGCTAAAAATACTAACAAGAGCTGTCACAGGAGACAACGAAGCTCGACTAATAAAATACTGAACGCAGGAAGGAGGACAAAACTATGAAAGAAAAATCAATTATGTATAATTATGTATTAAGTTATAGTAAAAAAATAACATTTGTTAACATAAATTCCAAGATCAAGGGGAATAATTCTAGAAATAGTCACGCTAGAGTTATGAACCTTGTCACACAACATGTGTGTAATGATAAGAAATATATATTTGAAGTTTGAAGTAGATACCTTAAAAAGTAAAGAAATTAAAATATTCCTGAAAGAAAATCCTAAGTTCAAAGAGAGATAAATCTGTAAATATTGCTTCAAGGGTTATGAACATTGTCACATAAAATGTAATTGATGATAAGGAATAAGTATTAGAAGTTTGAGGTAGATACCTTTAAAACTAAAAGAGTTATAGTAAAAAAATAACATTTTTTTAGTAAAAAAATCTAAGTTTATGGGGAGATAATTCTTGCAATATTAGTGCTAGAGTTATGAACCTTGTCACATAAGATGTGGATGATGATAAGGTACATATATTTGAAGTATGAAGTTGATCCCTTTAGAAATAAATAAGTAAGGGTAAAAAATAGTATTTTTTAGAAAAATTCTAAGTTCAAGGGAAGATAAATCTGAAAGTATTGGTGCTAGAGTTATGAACCTTGTCACATAAGATGTGGAACATGATAAGGTACATATATTTGAAGTATGAGGTTGATCCGTTAAGAAATAAAGAAGTAACAGTAAAAAAATAGTATTTTTAAGGAAAATTCTAAGTTCAAGGGGGGATAAATCTGAAAATATTAGTGCTAGAGTTATGAACCTTGACACATAAGATGTGGTTGATGATAAGGAACATATATTTTAAGTTTGAAGTTGATACCTTAAGAAATGACAAAGTTATGGTGAAAAATATTTTACTGCACCAAAACTTTAATCTGAAATCTGGCTCTCCATATACTTCGTATAGTCGAGTCAATATCGTTCTATATTCATGTCATGTTTAATCTGATTATTACCCTACTTAAATTAGGAGGGTTCTACAATTTACTGAGTTTGTAACTCAGGTGAGCGAATTTTTTATTGTGATCACCCAATGTCCGTAACAATTACAAGTGTCACTATAGTATATAAAGCTATATGTTCAATACATAACATACACTAAAAATAATAAATAAGAATTAATGTGTTTTGACATGTGCGCATATAAACTATTATATTTAATGCATTAAGTTGTTTTTAAGTGAAAGATATGTCAAATTAATCGAAATATTATATACTTTTCTTAAAATATCATTAAAAAGGGAAGTAATTATTTGAGTGTGTTACAGTTACTCCCTTTTGATTATCTTCCCTGAAAATTACCTAGGGAAAAAGCGAAAAATGTTAAAACGAATTTGACCAATGTCAAAAATAGCTTCTGACCGGCGATTTACATCTAAATATTTGGCCTCACTATGGTGAATAAGCAAATAAATGTAGGCTGGTGTCATAAAATTAACGATTTCCAGATTGAATATAAAATTAACGTTAACGGATCTTATGGTAAAGCAGTCTTTTTAATTAGGATTGAAAAAAAACTTCTAAAAATACTAGTCATTCCCTTCGCAAACTTGCATGTATTTTTGTATGTATTTTTAAAAGGGGGTCTATTACAAAGAGGGGGACTTTTGGGCCCCATTTTCTTCATGCTACAGGGTGTTCCCAAAAGTTTAAATGTTTTAAAATTCTGGGGAAATTTTTCTTTTGAAAGGGGAGCTTAATCATTTAACAAAAGGGGGGCCAAATTAGACTTTAAAAGTACAATGTAGTTATAGCAATAAGGTGAATGTTATCAATGACTGTATCATAACTTTATGCAGTCCTTGTAACGTTATAGCATAATGATTTAGGAACTAATGTTATATCTATGTTTAAAAAGACATAGATCTATATTTTAGGGACAAAGTCTAGATCATAAAGACATATTTTCTTAAATAAATGCTTAGCTATAATTACGTTTCTGTCTGCTAAAACAATGGTACAAACAGCAAAGCAAAGACGTTCTGTTAAATTCTGTCGAAAAAATACTCAATCCCCACAAAAATACACTTCAAAGATCCTGTAACTCAAATATTTATGGTTTTATATCATAAATCTGATGCTCAAATGAAGATATAGCAATATTGTAAGTTTAAAAAAAGCATTATTTGCAAAAATATTACCGAATTTACATTTCATTTAAATAAAGGGAGGTTATGAGAAATCTATTTTCGATAGTCTAGCCAAACTTTTCATTAAGAAATGAATGCATAGATTTTAATGATTACTTATAAAGCGAATAATTATTTGAAGTACATGTTTAACATATTCTTGGATGTTTGGAAATTGTTTTAAAGGAATAGTTAAATACATATAAAAAATTTCACTTAAATGGTGTTACATCCATATTAAAAGTTGTCAGGGGAGACCGTGTCTCTTTAGTACTTCATGTACTTTGTAGGAAAAAAGTTAATATTATGTTTTCTGGTTGTTTCACTGTGACACGTCTTATAATGAGTACCAACAGGCTAATAGTAGTTCCTGCTACTTGTCCGTCACCCGTCGTGACTACTTTAAACATTAGGGGGACCATGACCAAGCTTTCTCAAATTTCATCAGAACCGAAATGGATAAATTAAAGTTATTTAAATTTGTTTCACATTTGAACTTGAATTGAATAATATGTTTAAACTGAAAAATGCGGACCCGGATTCTTATTGTACTTTTAAATCTTATAACAGAAAAACTTACTCAAACTTAAGATGTAGGAACTGTTAACGGACTTGATTCTTATTGACTACAATGTTTATAACAGAAAAAGCCCCAAACTTAGTCTTATACATGCACTTATAAATGTAACCGGTGTCTGTGCTATTGACAATTTGAAACAAATGCATAAATGGCTACCATTCAATAAAATGTTAATAAATATTGCACCAAAAGTATTAAAATACAACTTAGCTGGTGATTACCATGTGAAAATGACAATAGAACACATTATACAGTCTATAATAAAATTTATTTTAAATTATAAATCATACAAACTGAACAATATCATAAATGTTATAAATGATAACATACATAGATATAAATAAAATTATTGCACATACTTAATACATAAAACTTCTGATTTAAAGTTCGGAAATTTTCCATATAACTTTATAGCAAGTAATGCTTACACATATATCACTGTTCACATCTTACACAGGTCATATCACCACTATACAAGCAATCTTGTCTGGCAATTTGCCAAGAATATACACTTTAGGACTAGATATTTGTATTTTATATTAAAATCCTTATTACTGGTAATGAAAAAGCATGCCATGTTCATTTAGAAACAAACATTTACCACATTAGACAATGTACATGTACAAAGGATAATGGGTTGGTTCAAGCAATACAAGGACAACAAACTTGCTTCTTCATATAACACCTATACATGTTCAGGTTAGTTCTAGAGGTGGAATTAAGACTGGTTCAAGTTGGTTTTCTCAAAAATCGTAAGTTTATACTTAAGCTAATGGTGATGTATAATTAGCTTGATCACAAATTTCTAGTTTTGATTCATGGCACAACTTTAAATTTTTGAACATACTGTAACATATATTTCATAATTCATAGACAGGAGGAAGATCAAGATTTACCTAAATGTGGTGCAACACTGTAATATATACCTCCCTTAATCTAGCTATATAGTTTCTTCAAATGACAGAATGTCAGGTCCTTGACACAAAGCATATTAATAGTGGTTGTGGGCAGATAACTTGAGGTAAGTGACTTAAAACATTCAGACATGCTGTGTTACAAATTAGATCGTCACAACAGTGCTTAGCAACAGATACCAGTAGCAACAGAACAACACATTCATTGGAATGTTTAAATAACATCTGAACAGTTTTTATCAGGAACATTACACTAGATAACATGATTACATTTACATAATTCAATAACAAGCAAGAATGTTTGGAAGATTTTGACAATTTCTTTAAAGTACATGTAGTTAGTAGCACAGTTTTACCACTACACTTTCACTGTCTTTTTCAATCCTGATCAAAAATTTGTTTTCATTTCTTTTAAAGTCATTGATATTAAGTGTTGACATGATTTTAAGGCTTTAAAGTTTACTGATATATGACTACTTAGTTTCCATAAAAACAAATGAAAGCAATGTGTGGTATTCCAGATGATTGACGTGTTTCCATGGTTACAGGAAAGATCACTTCAAGAGAGATGCAAGTTTGGCAGTTTTATAGTCAGCTCTTAGTTGTACAAATGACAGGAGAATCGACTTGTCAAGCCCAGCCTGCAATTTATATAACATAAACAAATATTTATTTCCTTTGCATTACATATAAATACATAATTATTTAAATACAATAACAAATCTGGAACTCCAGGGCAAAAAAGACATGCATTATTCTGATAAAAAATGCTAATATTAATTTGTGTTATAAAAAGAGCATTTGAATCTTTATTCAAACATGTGGTTGAATTATTGAATATCAATTTCATACCTTCCTGGATTAAGTTACGCAACACAGAATTTGTGAATGTTATAACTCAATATTGTAGCTTCACTTAAAATTGTAGGCAGTACAAGTGAGAAAACCCAAAGTAAAATCATGTCGACCTTTCCACATTAACTAGGGAAAAGAACCCTAAAATGACAGGAAAAGGCCCAAATTTCCTAGTGGGGTTTAAAAACCCGCAACAGTTTAGGTGTTTAAAAGTTGTTTTATATTTATTATTTGGATTTTCAGCTACTTTTATTTAAGGACTTAATCATTCCCCCCCCATTATTTTTAAATGGACTTTTTCTCCATTTAATCTTTGGGCAAAAAACCCTTTATCATTTTTGAGAAAAATTTGGAAAATGTACTGAATGAAAAGTGATCAGTGCCAACAATGACAAGACGGCACTTGTATGGGTAGATTGAGACCACCATGTAGGCTAAGGGTAAGATAATATTTTTTTACTTTATTGCCTTGTTTTGTTCCAGATGATGCAGGGTCAGAAATGATGGTTTTTTCTCAATTTCTAGAATAGTCAGATTATAAACAAGTATCTCACCAGCTGATCTCCGCTACAAACTTGTTTGAGATTTTCAGGCACAACAACAAGCAGGTTACATAAAGCATGGAGTTTCTCAAACAGCTGTGTAACCAATGGTAACCCAAACTCCTTCACACATTTCCTGTACTCATTCACATCACAGATTACCAACATAGCACCTAAAATATATCAAAGTTATATATCTCACACAAATATAATAAAACATGGCACATAAAATATATCAAATATATATACAAATATAACACCTAAAATACCAATAGTTTTTCCCTGTGCTATACAATTCTCAAATGATCAAGATTAAATTAACAGTAAGTCAAATGTGAATGATAATATTCTATAACAAGAATTTGTAACAGAGTTACCAACGTCCCCCGCCTCGGGGAAGTTTTATATGAAGCATAAAATTGTGCTATTTCAAAAGATTGAGGTATGGATGTCAGGACTTTCATTCCAAAATTATGATCAATGCTAGATCTGCAAATGCAACAATGAATTCATTAAAGAAATACTAGTAAAATGAAACACGGAATGTAAAATTCTATCATGTTAACTTTTGACCTCTAATGGTGACCTTGACCTTGGAGATAGGGGTGCAGGTGTTGTGCATGACATATCATCTAATAAATATTACTATTTGTGTCAAGTATTTTCAAAATCCCTTGAACTATGTAGAAGTTATAGATCGGACACAAAATATACCCTATAACAGACTATGTCAATCTTTGACCTCTAAGTGTGATCTTGGAGGTAGGGACCCATATTTTGCACCTGACATATCATCTTGTTATTGTGATTATTTGTGCAAAGTATTTTCAAAATTCCAGGTTATGGACTGGACACAAAATATACCCTATTACAGAGTATGTAAATGTTTGACCTCTATGTGTGACCTTGACCTTGGAGGTAGGGACACATGTGTTATGCATGACATATCATCTTATCATTGTGACTATTTGTGCCAAGTATTTTCAAAATCCCTTGATCTATGAAGAAGTTATAAGACGGGACACAAAATAAACCATATAACAGACTCTGTTAACCTTTGACCTCTAAGTGTGACCTTGACCTTGGAGGTAGGGGTGCAGGTGTTGTACCTGACATATTGTCTTATTATTGTGACTATTTGTGCCTAGTTATTTCAAAATCCTGAAGAAGTACAAAATATACCCTAAAACAGAATACGTTATCTTTTGACCTCTAAGTGTGACCTTGAACTTGGGAGGTAGGGATGCAGATGTTGCGCATGACACATTGTCTTATTATAGTGACTATTTGTGGCAAGTATTTACAAAATCCTTTGATCTATAAAAAAAGTTATGGACTGGACACAAAATATACCCTGTAATAGACTATGTTAATCTTTGACCTCCAAGTGTGACCTTCACCTTGGAGGTAGGTGACCGGTTGTTGCACATGACACATCGTCTCATTATAGTGAACAATTGTGGCAAGTATTTACAAAATCCCTTCAAGGATAAGAAAGTTATGGACCGGACACAACGTATACCATCAAATAGACAATGTTGACCTTGAATAGTCAAGTGCGACCTTGACCCTTGAGGTAGGGGTCTGGTTGTTGGGCATGACACATCGACTAATTATAACAAACATTTGTGCCAAGTTATTTCAGATTCCTTTGATAAATGAAAAAGTTATGGACCGGACACAAAATATACCCTGTAATAGACTATGTTAATCTTTGACCTCCAAGTGTGACCTTGACCTTGGAGGTAGGTGACCAGTTGTTGCGCATGACACATCGTCTCATTATTGTGAACAATTGTGGCAAGTATTTACAAAATCCCTTCAAAGATAAGAAAGTTATGGACCGGACACAACGTATACCATCAAATAGACAATGTTGACCTTGAATGAGCAAGTGTGACCTTGACCTTGGAGTTAGGGGTCTGGTTTTTGCACATGACACATCGTCTTATTATAACAAACATTTGTGCCAAGTGTTTTCAGATTCCTTCAATAAATGACAAAGTTATGGACCAGACACGAAAGTGTGACGGACGGACGGACGTCCGGCCGAAATGGAATAAGGGGCCATTTCTATTGTTATTTTCTATTGTTTAATAGAGGGCCAATGGCCCCTTACTCTATTGTTACGGAATGAACTCTATTGTTCTCTTTTGTTCTGTTTACAGTTAGATGGCCCCCTATCCCTATTCGGTAGTGCGGACAGACGGACGGACAGACGGACGCACAGACGGACAGAGCCTATTACTGTATCCCCCTTTTTTCTTCGAAAAGGCGGGGGACAATAACAACACATTCAATGTCAACTCTTCTGACTAACAGAATTAATTCAGGAGTGTTATAACACATACTTATGCACATCACTTTTTTCTCAACAAATAACATTGTGAATGTTCAAGACACCTAAGATAGAGCTCATAAAATTCAATAAAGAAAAGTATATTGCATAACTGTTTGCTGTGTAAAACTTGAAGTTAAAGGCCAATACCACATGTATTAATATGAAATCCATCTGCTTAATACTTATATCTTATTACCATTGTATTACTATTTATAGTAAACATAATATTACATAAATCACAAAGAAAACTAACAGCTGTACATACTATACTTTTACCTACAAATGTTTCACTTTCAAATGAAACATTAAAATGGAACTTACCTAAGGAATTACATTAAAATGGAACTTACCTAGGGAATTATATGTGAATTGGCAAAGATGTTCATATAGTATTCTATGAAGCCTGGTTCCTAGCTCCAGAAGTAATGCCTCCACATTTTTCCCATCTAGATTATCTCTGATAGACTGATGTTGTTCACTCATAAACTTAACAACCTTTTTGGAAGCCTGGTAATAAAATAAAGAAAAACAAAAACTTAACTTCATTTTTTTTTTTTGGAAAACAAGATGTGCCAAAATGACAGCACATTAGACTTATCTCAGTACTTGACAAAAAAACAAGAACTAAGGAATGCTTATTAAACCAAGCAAGGAATTTTCTAAAAGGAAATTAAGACAGTGAAATTAAGTAAAAAGCATCCCTTGCGCAGTTGTTGAGAGAGAACTTAAACACTTAAATATAATAAATTATGGAATTTTCTAAGTATGATTCGAGGGAAAAAAATCATTGCCAAGAAATAAATCTTGAAACATGAACCAAAGACAAGTATGAAGTTTTAAATGAATAACTTCAGTGGGTAATATGAGATATGAAGTAAAAGACAAAAACTTAACCAAGCTCTATGCAAATCCTTGAATATTGATGACAACAAAATAGTCATGGTAAACAAGTACATTCTTGTACATGCTTTTTTAACTTTGCACATAAACATAACATTTCATTATAGCATTTTCTTCAGTAACATGTCTGGTACTTACAGGGGTTCCCATCTGTAGGAGAGCAGAGTCGTCATCTGGTTTGAAGTCATTTTTCTTCTGTTCTGAAGCGAGGATATATTTAACCCAGCCACAAATTGAGGCAGTAGCTCTCTCTAGACCAGTGTCTATCTTACTCTCCATATTGTCCCTCAAATCTCTCTTCTTGTGTAGACACTCGGCATATAGTGGAGTTGATCTGAAACCAAGGTATCATAGAACTTGTAAATTGTTTGTTTGTTTTGGGTTTTAAGTCACATCAACACAGTATAGGTCATATCACGACGTTCCAGCTTTACTGGTGGAGGAAGACCTCAGGTGCCCTTCCGTGCATTATTTCAGGCACGAATGAGCACTTGAGTAGAAACACTGATGTTCCGTAAGCTAGCTGGATAGCTTCCTCACATGAAAAAATCCAAAGTCCCTGTCGGGATTCGAACCCACAGCAGGGAGAACTTGTAAATGTCATATACAGTGCATGTAGAGTTGAGATACATGTTTCAATACATTTCACATAGAATGGAAATTCAAACAAGACCAGGGTTTTAAATAATTATTTTAACTATTAATGTTTTGGTACATAACATTCAACAGAAAGAAACTTCAAACAAATGCAGTGGGATCATTGTCTATATTACTTACAGGAACAATGGTACAGCACTGTCCATGAACTGTTTCTCAAATAGATGGAAGAGAGTGTTAGCCTGTGATACTGTATCAAAGAAGTAAATTGCTGGGGCTGATTTAGGTTCTGCCACAGGAATGCCTACAATGTTTGAACATATTCACTATTCAAACTGAACTACATGTACTAGTATTTTATATTTCAGAACTTTTGCTATTTTTGATTCTGAAAATTATATCCACTGTATCTAAAGTGTATATGGTGTATGTAAATGATAAAAAAATACTGAAAGAATTATTTGTATCAGAAAGCATAGATTCCAAGGTTGAACTAAAGTTGTGCAATGTAATCGCACAATTCTATTATCAAGCAATTTCTCTACCTGTAGATTATCAACACCTTATTGTTAACATTACAGTTTTGGATTGATATTTTATGTATTGGTTTGTTTATTTATGTTTCAGTCAGGAAAACAGACTCAGACTTTGTAAAATGAAAACAAAACTGTCCAACTGTTCTGTAATCAAAAAGATAATAATCTAACATGAGTATATATAACAAGTAAATATTCATATTCATATATAAGAACAGGGTTTTACCTTGAAGGCCTACTTCTATAGCATAGTCAATGTGATCGGAGACTAGGTATTTAATAAGTATATCTAAAATCTTCACTGCATTTCCAGGTACATCTGAACTACCAGATAGCTGTAAAAGACAAGCAAATATAAACTTTTAAACATACAAATATTTACATTAAAAAAAATAAAGTCTATTTTTCAATATTTTTGTAACTTATTGTATTAACTTTACAACAGTTACATTGTATAATTTAAGAAGAATTACACTCCAACAAAGTTACTTGATACCTGTCCCAGTGCGGCTGAATTATTTATTTTGGTTAAATTTTAAGTCACACTAATTTTGCAGAGATCATATAGCAACTTTCCAGGTTTACTAGTGGAGGAGGAAATCAGGTTTCCCTTAGTGTGTTATTTCAGAAACAGGCAGGCACATTAGTAGAGCCACCAACCTTCAGTAAATGAAAGGATCTAGCAGTATTTATGTGTAGTTGCTGAGGTAAACAAACTTATGTTTTATTCTGATTATAGACTTGCAACAAATGCAACATTAAATGTTCCTTCAGGATTACTCTAAGCCAATTAAGTTTCAGGGTAAGTATTGTAACTAATCAGTAACATGTATTTGATAACAGAAATATAAATACTAGAAAAAATACAAACATACACTTTGACATCTTTTGAAAGCAAGCTTTGTTTCCTGTAGAATATTAATGGAAACTTCTTGAGAGAGGAATGTTTCACCACCATAGTTCTCAACACTTGGTCCTATGTTGATATTTACATTTACATTGGCTATCTTAGCTTGTAAATCTCTACGCAACTCTGACAATCTGTAAATAAACAACACCTTCATAAGGTTATTATAAAATTTAATACAATAGACAAAAATAAAAATGCTTTTACAATTACAGAGTAAAGAAAGAAACAAAAATACTAAGAGTGTGATAGATGAGTTATCTACAATAAATATAAAGTGTGTCTGTTAAATATCTAAAATGGACATATCCATCTTTCAATCTGGAAAAAAAAACATTCCTCATTTTAAGTAAAATATTAAAGTATGTACAGACTGAATATGTACAGCGCAGACCATGATCAGATGGCACAGATGTGCTGGCTGATCTTGATCTGCATTGGCAGCAGGGGTATAATCAGTTTCTGCCAGCAACCCAAGGGTTAATCATATCTTGCATGTGGCTATGGTTACCACTTATGATAAATATTACAAAAATTGAATGTGACAAGTTTTTTGTTCATAGATCTACTAAATGCAGCAGATCTTTTGTATTTTTAGTGGGAATGGGGTAAAATACTATAAATTTATATAGACATAAATAAAGACATATTTTGAATTACCCTCCAGACTGTATCTGTTTTTTCTGATGTTCTTTACTGTCATAATATCTCTGTAGTATAGCCCCACATCTCTCATGTAGGTACTTCGTCTCAAAACTAAACAAAATATAATCTTGTTTACATATTATTCTTTGCACTTGACAATATTTATCGAGAGCATGGCACTATTAAAATTAAACTAACTATTAACTAATACAGTGTTTTGAAAGGCTTTTGTAGATGTAAATATTTTCACATATATACCGGTTCACATTTTTTTAATGGTGCTGGGAGCGATAGTCACACAGAAACTGTAAATATCATATGCTAACATTCCAGCTTTATAATAAAGGTGGAGAAAAACCTTAGTTTGATTAATACAAACACCTACATTCCATAATTTAGCTGGATATCTTCTTCTCATTACTATTAGTAGACATATAAGTGTTGGTTTAAATCGAGAAAGAACTAGAAATGTGTCCATAGGACACGGGTGCCCCCACCACGCCACTGTTCTGTCAATCTTTTTACTAAGTCAAGGGAAATAACTCTACAAATACTGGATAAATCCACAAGCGAAACCCCAGGTGCAAATCTGAATATGCTGAGCAACCTGCCCATAAGGTTTAATGACTATGTCAAATCCTTTTTGAGTAACTTGCGACACAAGTTGAAAATTGCAAAAATTTTCTAAGTGAAGGGCAATAACTCTAAAAATACTAAATAAATCCAGACGAAAATACCTGGTGCACAACTACACATCATGATCAATATTCCTGTAAAGTTTCATGACTCTAGGTCAAATACTTTTTGAGTTACATGCGACACATGTTGAAAATTGCAAAATTTTACTAAGTCAAGGGCAATAACTCTGTAAATACTAAAAATATCCATACGAAAATACCCAGGTGCACAACTACACATGCTGATCAACATTCCTGTAAAGTTTCATGACTCTAGGTCAAATACTTTTTGAGTTTCGTGCAACACAAGTTGATAATTGCAAAATTTTACTAAGTCAAGGGCAATAACTCTGAAAATACTAAAAATATCCACACAAAAATACCCAGGTGCACAACTACACATGCTGATCAACATTCCTGTAAAGTTTCATGACTCTAGGTCAAATACTTTTTGAGTTACGTGCGACACAAAAGTGAACGGACGGACGGACGGAAGGAGGGACGGACGGAAGGACGGACGGACAGACGGACGGACGGACAAGGGTAAATCTAAATGCCCGCCACTAACGTGGGGGCACAAAAAGTAAAGCATTATACTAACTTGATGTAATCATCTAGATGTTTCTGGAAGATAACTTTGGTCATCTTGGGCAGAAATGAACTGTCATTACCAATCTTAAACTTTGATAAATCACCAGATAATTTTGTTGTTCTGAAATACACAAATAAATCATATAACATACATAAAATGTAAGTATTTCAATGTATATTATGTAAACATTTCAATGTAAATATAAGCATTTCAATGTATATTATGTAAGCATTTCAATGTATGTTATGTAAGCTTCAATGTATATTATGTAAGCATTTCAATGTATGTTATGTAAGTATTTCAATGTATATTATGTAAGCATTTCAATGTGTATTATGTAAGCATTTCAATGTATATATTTAAATGTCATGAACAAAAAACCTATAATTAGCATAAAAGAAAGTTGTTACAAAAACCAAAGCAACTAACCTAGTGTAGATATCAAAGAAATCCTTCAAATATTGTTCAGGATCTTCCTGCTTGTCAAGTTTGCTTTGGATAAAAGTCTGAAAATATACATGTATATATCTATAACAATAGCTTGATTACACTTTACAGAAGATAACATTTTATCGCTTAAAGGTACAAGTTTATTTTATAAATATTCATTTATCTTAGTTTGGTTTTCATTAAGCAAATAAAGTAACACACTTCTGTAAATTGCTATTTATACTAACGTCTGTAGATTTATTTAAACTGTAGACATATATTTGATCAAATTAGTTTCATAAGATATAACTTCTATAACTTACATAAGTCCATCTATCCCTACATGTTTGTCTCTTGTGTTTTTATGTCTATGTTTGATAAAAAAGTATAATGTTTACAATTCTTACTTCAGGAAAATAACACAGAACATTCTTGGTAACATTATTTAATTACTGTGTATCTAAACAATCACATTTCTGGTAGAAAGACACTTGTAATAAAAGAAGAGACAATGTATACCTGTAACTTTGTAATATATATATTCTGAACCAGTTTTCCCATGACAACATCAGGGTTGGTAAATACTTCCTGTATCAAGTCATTACTCTGATTACATAGTGGGAACACTTCACTGAATGGATCTGAACTAATAAATGATCCCTGAAAATAGATATTAAATATCATTGCATGAAGACTGATTAAAGATAAGAACAATTCTTCAATAGTATAACTTTTAGTTATATCAAATTTTATGATACTGCATGTTTGTAACGTCACTTTTCATCATATGACCATGATGTTTATATAGTTTTATAAGCACGGCTACTGCCAATAAATCAAGAAATCTCACTTTTTTCTCTAATAGAAGTTGCTTGCTGTATTTTAAATTTGTTATAAATATTTCTGACAGGTTATATGGCCATACTTAAACAGTTGTTCGCAATATGACCCTCGCCTAGCAGTTGAGGTTATATTTCCAAACAGCCTTTTATATACATGTAGGACCATATAACCTGTCAAAAATCTTTATAACTAATAATGTAGGGAACATTATAATATACACTGCTATGTTGACTCAAGTCACATTACAACAACACTGACTGAATCAGGCCTTGATGTACCACTTTTAATCCTGATTGCAAACAAGGCAAATACTTCAACCAGTTTGAGAAAAGACTTTGGTATCACCTTCCCGCAGATCGAACCCAAATGATCTACAACTTGGCCACAACTGCATTTTGTTTTAATCATATAGCTAAGTTAAAATCCATTTTAAAGGATATTGTTTTCTTTGATTATATTTCAATACATTAACTATTTCATCACAAATTCTGCACACACAAAGAAAACCATAACAAAAAATATCAGACCTTCTGGGTTTCTTCTATAAATGTATCTATACAGCGACCATGTCCCTGAATGTAAAAAAAATATATCTATATATTAAAACCAATAATAAGAATATTTCCTTGAATTTATAATATGTTTAACTCATACATAAATACAAATGACATTTTATTTCATTAACTACATTTGAATAAATATTTTTATAATCAATTTACAAATAATTAAACACCAGCCTTCCATTAAAGGTTGAAAGTTGATTTTTAGAATACTTTGAATTTAAGAATTAGTACTAAATTTCCCTATGGTTAGAAAGATTGTGTAAAGGAAACTGACTCTTAGCTTTACTGAAATAAAATGCAATATAGAGGAACACTTGCAAAACTGGGCTGTGCTAACATAGAAACCTGTTGCCTCAAGAGAAGCCCTCCCCAAACTTATCATCACTCATCCAGATGTTCACCTCATTGTTTAGTTAAAAAAGATCTGTGGCTACACTTATGTTAACTTTAATAAGAATGGAGGCTTACATTAACTTGAAGAAAAAGTGAAAGAACTTACTTTAAAATTAGAGAGAACTGAGGCACATCTTTTCATCTTACGTTTATCTCCCTCACGGTGGGCAATTCTAAACTCTTCTATCAACTCATTCTCTATATCATCATACTTTCCTGAAATATTGACACATTTCCATGGTAACAGAATATATAAATTTCTCAGATTAAACACAACTTTTATATATGCATAGACCAAATGGATAGGAAAACATTTTTTGTTCAACATTTTCAACCACACATTGCAATCTCAATGATTATCATCAATAAAATTTAATTTAAAGGGGAAAAGATGTTGTACTTGTATAATAACAAACATCGTATTTCATATAAGTACTAAATATCTCTCACTTGCAATTTTTGTCCTAGCCTTGGCAAATCTGAAAAGCAAAAAAGATCCTTATTACATTTATCATTTAATATTCATTCAAGTGAATAAAATTAGTACAACATAAGTATAACTTATAATTATATCAAGCATATCATTTTTTTTTTACTTTATTACATATTACTTCATTATAATTTCTGTAAGAATCATCAGAATATTCATACATTGTTTGTTTGACATTGTTTGTTTGTCACAGCATATCAGCTAAAACAAAACATAGACCATATCCATGGGATGTCTGCTCAGCTATGCATAACTGCATCCTTCATACTTCTGTTGTGCTATTCATTATGTAGGGTTGCTTTCTTTCCAAGAACGAAAAACCTTTGTTATTTGTAACTAAGTTGATATATAATTTAAAATAACAAATTTCTAAATGAACTTACTTCTCTGTACTTGGGAGTTCTAGAGCAATCATATGAAGTTTCTGTATTATCTCAGCAGCTAACTGCAACTGTAAAACATTTTTTTTCTATTTAATCATACACTTAAATTTTTCATTTTGATTACATAAAGGTCATTATGGTCATAGGTATATTTTCAATTTTACTGGTCAATAAAAACCTTTGATGTCCCTCGGTTACATAATAAGGATATCTACATATCAACCAGCAGCAATACATATGCTGACTATAATCACAGAATTTAAGCTTATGAGAGTCTGTCTAGTCCCACACACTAGAAAATAGAATTCCACAAATATTTCTGCTTCTTAAATGTATGAATTGGATTGCTTTAGAAACAAATACATATAAAAAGAAATTTAAAGGTACAATATGACAATCTAACATGTACTTTTAACCCTCATTCTCCTGAAACAGGAAGTAATTAGCCCTTCCCACCAGTATAAAGCCTTGCAAGCCTGCACATCCATAAAGTCTCACCAGGCAGACTGGTTGTATGATTGGCTGACTAACTCTTAATTTACAAATTGATATCTCTAAGTTGATAGGGGATAGTTTCACAAATGCACCCTCGAACAGTTTTTCAAGAAATTCAGTTGATTAATTGCTAAGATACCTGAAATGGATCTGTGAAAATAGCAGACTTTGGAGGGTCATTAGTTAGAAACTCTGACAAGTAGTTCATCAACCTCTGAGCCTCAACTGCCCTCGCTCTTGGTGTGTTCACACCCTCCAACTGGTCTCCAAGATGCACAACTTTTGTAGCTACTGAATTTATTCTTTCGTCTAAACCTTGAAAGTGAGAAAAGGCAGCCTGCAAGAAAACATTTATTGTAATTAAATATGTAGTTAAGAACATATTATCTAGTAAGATAGCACATAGCTTTTGTTTATATTTCTTTCTTTTCATAATCAGTGAGTTTTATAAACCATCTACCTGAAATACAGATATAAACTAGGGATGGCAACGAATACCAAAATCAATACTCGAGTACTCGGTCATTTTTCCGATCGAGTACTCGGTTACTCGGATAATTGCCAGTGATCTTCAAAGTTTATCACACAATATCAACACCGTCCGCATGCTCCTTTCGTTTTCTATTTAAATTCATAGAATTCTGTAGATAGTAAATAGGACTGCACGGGAGACAAATTAATTATAATTAAATCAACTACATAATATTTTACAACGTTTTGATTTATGCAATATCAAGTTTTAAACATGTATAACAGTTCATATACTCGTATCTTTTTTCTTCTTGAAATAATATAGACTGATCGGCGGCAACAAAAGTTTAACCTGGTCTAAATACAAGTTACCTTTATTCTTACATTCATGATAGCAATCGGCCCTTTGTTGTTTTCAAAACTGTTACTTCGGCTACACAATTAAAGGTAATTAAATATCATAAGAGGCTGGATGATAAGTAGGAGCAGTAGTCCAGTGGTAGGACGCGCGCTTAGGGATCGAGAGGTCCCAGGTTCGAACCCCACTAGGGGCACTGCTAATTTCCTTGAGCAAGAAATTTACCTGCGATTGCTTCACTTCACCCAGGAGTAAATGGGTACCTGCGAGGGTGGTATAAATCCGTTGCGCCAAAGTGTCGGCTGCACTAAGCGGAGTTAAAAGACTCCCCAGGGAGATTGATAGATAGATACCAGTAGCCCGATGACCAGGGGTAATAGCTGTAAAGTCGGTGAACGTGCGTAAGCATGAAACTTAGACTATAAAATGCAATTATTACTTTATGACATAAGCGACACAGGTGCGCGTGTCAAACTGTTGATCGCCTCGTTCAATTTATGATACCATTTTCGCACCTCTGCAAGGATGTTTTGATTGCATTTAACGGGTATTTATGAAGATACATGCTAATCTCCAAATTTCTGAACTAATTGGATATACCAATCTTTCTAAATCGCAAAAAAAATAGAAAATATATATTTTTCCGAGTAATCGAATATAAGTTTTGTTAACCCATATTCAGTCGTTCGATCGAGTACTCGGTTAACCGGTTACTCGTTGCCATCCCTAATATAAACATTAGTAAAATTGTACAAAATGAAGTAAATGATACACATTCTGTGTTTATTTCAGCTGCATTGTAGTCCTGAAATCAGACTCTATTCCCCACTGTAAATAAGTATACTTTTTCCTCTGCCTTTGGGAAGAAGTCCAAAGATGTGAATGACATAATCAAGTTGTCATTTATATTACACAAAAGGTTATAAAGCATGTCTGTTGGCCAAGTTTTATGTAACTCTTCATAAAATGACAACCCATGCAAGATTCTCTGCATCATAAGAAATTATAAACAGCAAAATTTAATGCATCATGTGACAAACTTTTTCTTTAATGATGTTACCACTGACTTTATATATGGTTGCTGACACTGTGAAATTTTATATTAAAAGAATGCAATACAATGAAATACATAACAGTAATATTTCATCTCTATGGGAATCCAGTGTATGATTCTTACGTTCTTGCGTTCTATGTCAAAATTATTGTTTTACTGCTGGCAGATGACAGTTCAATAATGTTAATGTAAACAATGTAAACAAATCTTCTTACATACTTGAAATCAGTAAACTATTATCATTTCTTGAATCAGATATCTTAATTAAAGATTCCTTTATAATATCTTATTGATTTTAAATTATTATTACCTGATTATTTCTCTGAAGGTCTACAACTCTTGCCCAATGTTTCTTTTCCTCCTCCTTACATTCTTCCTCCAGTTTATCTACCCTTGTCTGCACCATGCCATTCTTAGTCTGTTAAAAAAATCAACATGCAATATTTCTATAATGGATCTGTCCAGCTTTAAATTTGAAACAGTCCATTCAAAGTTTAAGGCATTTCAATATCAAAATACAAAGATTGAGCTGCCAACAGTATAGAGCCTGGTCAGACTGCACAGATGTGCAGGCTGGCCTGGCTCTATACTGGTGGCAAAGGCTAATCACTTGGTTCCAGCAGGTTAAGAGTTAACCATCTTTTACATTTTTTGAGTAACAATATTGTAACTCTCATATGATGCCAAGTCAACATATCTGGTAAAGACTTGTGATGCATACAGTATGTTATATTACAGAAGCAGGGACCTAGGTAAAATATAAACATATTGCTTAGTTAAGTCTAATGTGAAGCTCACTAATCTGACAGGTTTTCCATACACAGTCTTTATTCAGATATGATCTTAGCAAAGGTTAACCGTTTGACAGTACACACTATAGAATATATAGTTTTTGTATAGTATTCCCCACTGGAACCACATAGTTATCTTATGGACATTTATAGCACCACTTATAAACAAGAAAAACTGACTTATTTTATATGGAATTGTTTTCAACCAGGACTAAAACTTTGATAGCCATGTGTACTTTATTATAAAAATGCAATAGTAAATATCAGCAAAATGAATAAATCTAATTTTATCACATTCTTATCATTACAATTATTTGAAAAAAATAAGTATCATGGTTCCAAATGGCACCACACTATATTACTTTAAGATCAGCAATCATCCTCTCAAATGCTCCATGAAGTAACATAGGATCAAACTCATCGTGCTGACTGCGAGCTTTCGTTCCCATTGTCCGCCATGCTAGTCGCTCTACAAACTCATGTGTGTCAAATGGGTCCTAAAATTAATTTGATGGAATACAATATTATAGTATTAGACATACTAGTTCTTTAAAATCTCTAGAATTATTGTCACTGTTCCTGGATGGAGACATGTGCGATTTACATGACCGACCACTTTTACCATACACAGCCTGCCCCAAGCCAATCAAAATAAAGCATGATAATTAACAAAATGGACAAATAATACCTCAAAAATAGGCAACTTTGGGCACACCATGTTTTTGCCAGGTTACCTTTACCATACTTGCTATTTTCTGGGACATTTTTCATTGGTTATTTTGATTTTGATCGAGACATAAATCATTTCTGGGACGCTTCCGGGGAAGTCACCTTATTTCAGGCACAGACTCGGCCAACCGGGTCATTATGGCATTTATGCCTTTATATAATATAAATTATAATTAAAATACAAAACTTGAAACCAGTTTGTAGGCTCTTATTAAAATACAATTATTATTATAACAATTTAATGATTATTTTGAAGTAGGGTGAGTCATCACTAATGTGAGGCAAGTCATAATGACTTGATGGGGAGAATCTTCAGTGAAATTATTCGTTTTATTACCTAAAATCTATTATTATATTACCTCAAAAAACTATCATAATAGTTTAATATCTAATATTTTGGACTATCTCTGTGTGCAATCTCCTGGATTTAGACCCGTGCACCCCTATGTACTTTCTGAAGTAAAATTTGTATAATAGACGAAAGAAAATGGAATGAACCTTACATACTCCTGGTTTAAACCCCAGGGTCCAATATAGACACTATAACAAACCTTATATACAGTCATGGATAAAACCAAGAGTCTTCTCCAGGATATAACCAAATGTCAGATAAATTACTGCATGGTCAGATAAATTACTAATTTTGACAGGACTCGGGAGTTGAAGCAAAAATAATTTGTTATTTTCTTGCAACCTTTTCTTTAAAAATACAATTTCTACCATTTTTTATCTTATGACAAGTTACATAAATTAATTACTTGTTCCAATTCTTCAAAAGACATCTTTTGAAACTGAAAGGTAATCAAAATTAAGAAAATTGAAAAAAGTTAGTTGTGGGTCAACATTCTCCTTTGAAGAGAGTATCAAATGAAGGGAGGTAACTTTTCGCTAACAGTACTAAATGCCGTTATCAGACCCGTACCAAAGAAACGGTATAAAAGCTGTCAGACTCTGAAAGTACATGTGCAACTGCTTAAAAGTATATGTACATAGAAACACTGTCTGTAACATAAAAGTATCTGTACATAACTAACTATCTGCAAGTAGTCTATCTTTACCTATCTTTCATAATATGCCAGTGTCTCTTCAAGGATCTGTTAATTATAATATATTAATAATCAGTTAACTTATTATACGTCTAAACTAGTTTTTCCATGTTAACACGTGCCCTAACACGTAATTCTGGTGAAAATTTGTTGTTTTTTGACACTTTTTATTTTTTTAATTAAACATTTTTAGCACAGAATAAATTTTAAATGAAACCATTATAAAAAAATGAATTGATCTATCGTGAAAGGTTTGTAATACAATACATATATAATTACATTGATAGTATTTAATATCAGACATAACAACAAAACGCAAAATAATTATATAAATAAGGATGTTGGTGGTTTGATCTAGTCATCCGATATTACCAGTACAATAATTTAAGTACTTTATTAATATTTTAAAAAAATATCCAAAGGATACATTTCTATTGTTTTTTGTTGTTGTATTTTTTTTTAAATTTTGTTGTTGTTGTTGCTGTTTTTTCTTCAATATTTGAAATACTTACGGGAAATGTGTTCATCGTAGACCAGTCTATATTAACACAGTTTATCTTAAACAGTCAAATATTTTTCCGACAATAAATAAATATTGATTTTACTTGACTTGAAACAGAAGAGAGGGACGACTAATATTATGAGCACAAAACTCTTTTAAAGGGACTCCACTGAGGTTGTCTGAACTTGAAATACATTTCGAGAATTTATATTTGATGTAAGTCTATCCTAATAAATTGTGTGCAAAATTTTATATCATTTGTTCGTTATCTTTTTTCTACAATAATCAAGTTTATTATGCAAAATGACCCGAAACAGGAAAACTATTTAACCTAGATCGGACTAAAAGTCGCACGATATATCAATTTCCCTATTTTCAGTTTTTAAGTGCCACAGTCTATGCTTTAGGACCTCATTGCAGCGCCTTTAAAATGCAGAAATTTGAAATACTTGCTATTAAAAATCTTTTCAGTTTGACTTTTTATCATCGATTCATCCAACGGTATTTGTCATAAAATGTATATTTTTACCTATTAGGTGAATGAAATCAAGGCCAACACTTCAAAAACCTACAATATCTGGACAATACTTTTCAATTACATGAAGGTACTTTGGTACTACCATTACTGCTACTACTACCCTTCCTGCTGCTGCTGCTGCTGCTACTACTACGACTTCTTACATCATCATCATTATCACCGTCATCATCATCATCCAGATGTATTTGAACCGGCCTATATAATTATAACCTTTACAAATATTTACATATGTATTACAAGTACAGACTAAGATACAATGACAATTCAAAATTGTTTACCCTAACAGACAAAACCAATAACGTAACAGTAAAAGTTTAAGAATTCTGTAACAGAACAATCTTTCTCAATGTTTTTGACGCACGAAATATCAATTATCACGCTAGTGTAAGAACTATCGTTTTTGTGTCAATACATTGCCGAAATAACTCGCAAGAAGTAGCGTTAAAGATTATAGGAGGTGAATCTATCGATAGTCAATATATGAAGCTATAAAATTTGTTCAAACATATGCTGCATGTGTCATTGATATATAACGCCGAGCACATAGCGTACGTATTGATTTGTGCTAGATCACATGACCTTCCGCCATTTGTGGCACACTATTAAATAGTTCATTGAAACAGATTATTGAACTACATGTACTTTTTATTCAGATATAAATATAGATATATTTTTATGTGCTCGCTTAAACAATGGCAGTATAATGGGGACTTTAGGACTGCAGATTGTTCTTGAAAAGATGTAAAGTATGTAAGTATAAAAACCGATATTGTATAATTATAACAAATCCGTCGAAAATATAGTTATCATGCAATTGTGTCTTCTTGCTCTTCCATAATAAGGAACTTTGAATTAAACATGAATTCCTCTTTACTTTGTTTTAAATGAAATTGTGAAACGAGTGGTTCAATAGACCTTATTTACATTTTGAAGTATCAAAGTAAATAAGTCAATTGTTGTATGGGTGTGATCCATTTCTTTCGGCATAGTACATTGTATAGGACTTTTGCTATAGGAGAGTATTAAAATACATGTACTCTAATAAGTTGATGTTCTATTCATCTTTCATAGCCGGTGTAATGAAAATTTGCAATTAGATATTGAATAAAAACAAACAGGTTCACGTTCCACGATCTAGTCGACGAGGGTGAATTAAAGCACTTAACCGGAGATCGAACTGCTGACCACATGCCAAGCATTAATCTGCCATGCCAAGGTGCATGATGGCTTTGCATTTTGTATTTTGGGCGCCAAAGTGTGGTAATGGTAACAACGTATTGGTAAATTACACAATTATGTAAAAAGCACACTTCGGGCCGGACTTATTCTCTTGAATTTAATCTTTTTCAAATTACTTAAAACAACTTCTTAGTATACGAAGACATACGAAGTATACGAGTGCAAGAATTACGCCCCTTTATCAGAAGTCAGATCGTATGTTGTTATGCGTGCGTTCCTGACAGCATTTTAACGTCCTTTTGATTTAAATATTTAAGTTCAGGAGAGGACAGAACCCTTCGAAACAAATAGTAAAACAAACGCGCAGACTCGATTTAATTGAGTCCGCTCATCTCACGCCACCCTAGCACCGGGTATTCAATACGCAACACTTAATCTATCGGAATCAATGATTCCGAAGGGACACTAGACCTAGATGCATGAAGTAATAGGCACCTTTTTACTGGTTTACAGCATAGTCATAGAGAATTCTTCTCCTTTGGTGAACTATATGGTTTGTCTTAAAAAAAGGCTATAATTTGAATTACACATGGCAAGGGAATATGCATTTTAGTGTTAAAAATAAGTAAGAATACAGTTTTGCACTGAAAAAGGTGTAGAATAATATGAAAAAATAAATAAATAGAAAAATATGGAGATTATGGACAAAAATATACATGTACATTTGTAATCTCATATTATAAAAAAAGTTCTGGAAGAAAAAAAAACAAATGTTTTATTTGTTCTATATAGTTTTGTTCATGGGTAAATGTTCTAGCATTGTCTTGATATGAAAGTCACCGTAAAGAAGTATATGAAGGCTTACGTTGATGTTTTGTAAGGTATGTAGGGGTGTACTGCAGGAATGAGGTGGCATCATATGCACAACAGTTGAATGAATGAAGGGTAGTTAGTGACAAAGTGGGGTATGAAGGTACTTTTCATATAGAAATGGTGATATCTTGAAAGCACTACAGTTGGTAGGACGACGTGTAAAATCTGCAGTTTACGACTTCAGAGGATTTCCTGCGTGGAAGTTTTTAGGCGGCTGAGTCTGGTCCTTTTCCAAGAAATTTAAATGAAGATAGCGTAGTATACTTATTGCAAGAAGGTTTCAATCACAAATAACTAACGCGATACAAAGTGACCAGTAAGGGTATTTGTGTAATATCTTTAGAGTTTCGCAAGATGCATGTTGTATCGGGATTGATAAGGTTTGTGTATCAAGGAAATTCGCGTGAGTTTTTGTGTGTGTGTGTGTGTTTGTTTTTTGTTTTTTTTTGACTTCATATTGTGTTTGTATCTTTTTTTCCAACAATGACTGTCAATGAATGCCATTTTAAAGATTTTCGGCGTGTTGTCGTACGGCTTGTTGTCGCGATGTCACATTGTCGCTGGGTTCAAATTGAAGGATTGGCTTATAAGCCAAGCGACAGGGCGCTTTGACGTGTTATTGCTAGCGACAGTGCGACAACGCGCCGTTTTGGCGCTTTGTCGAGTTGTCGCTAGCGCCGACTAGACGCACAAAAGCGTACCAAACCAGCCACCATAGTTCACAGTAACATGGCTCATCGCTACTGGCCGGCCCATGTTGCTGATTTTTCGTTATTTCTTTCAATACTTGGATCCTATACAATGTACCATGTTTCAGGCAAAAAGTTTACGATTCCAATGGTTCATACTTTCCAATGTCGCTTTTGTACTTGTACCAATAACGATATGCTTGCAGAAATTTATGACGCACTGTAGGAGCACATTTGTCTCGGAGCACATTTGTCTCACGAGGTGTGACCGATGTGTTCGTAAACATTCATATTTGCGACAAATTGGAAATGAGACAGATGTGTTCGACACACAATAGAAAGGACACTCGAAGCACATTTGTCTCACATTTTTCCATAAAATTCTTAAAAGGTATTAAAGTATGTGTCGAACCTACAGCGGTTAGGGACAAGTGGTATTATGAAATCACTCGGCCACGGAGGCCCTTAAATGATCTATTGAAGAAAATAAGAAGACCATTACACGTTTTGTTTTCATCAGAAATATATGTATAAAAAATCGTCATTTTCCAAGAATTGCGGCTTTCAGATCCGCCATTGAAAAAGCACAACATGCATGAGTTCCTAAAATAGTCCAGGTAATGCCATAATTATGGACTATCGGGCCACTCAGAATCGGGCGAGACGAGACATTACGATGAGACACGAAGCGAGGCACGATATTGTAACACGAGATCTCGCAATGTCAAGTACCCCGTGCCACGAGATTTCAGAAATGAATACATTTTTACTTCTTAGGATAGGGCAAGTATGAATTTATTAATATTCAAATAATGATTTCTGAGGAAGTTAGATGCTTGTAGCCCAAAGGAATTCGCTATAAATGTGAAATAATGCGTCATAAAAGTAGCAAAATGTAAACAAAGTAGTATTTTGACTACAATGCCTTTCAATGCAAAATTTCTAAATCACTTTTAACTGTACAAACTGCAAAAAAAGAAAGCAGATGAAAAAATGTTTAGGTAATTAGCCAATTAAATAGTAACTTTTTTAGAGCTATAAAAGTATATCAAAATAAAAAAAACTTTAATTTTATAGAATACAAATTAAAGCATTTTCAGGCATAATGGGCCCTTAAAGTGATTTTATGTAGACTATAAAGGGAATACTTACTTAGCGGTATATGACCTGGAACCTATTTCTTGTCTCGCGTCGACGAACGAGATGCGAAAGCGAGACGCGAGAATTCGGCGAGATGTGCGAAACGAGTCACGCTAGCAACCGATTACGGTGTTCCGTTTGGACATAAGTTAACATTTTTGTCTCCCTGAACAGCTGTACACAATGGCAGCAAAGGTGAAAATGAGAAGATGGTACGATGCATTAAAACACGATTGGCACGATGGTGAAATCACGATGGTGCGATGACACGATAGAGAAAATAATATCGCGTTTTCATCATCATGCCATCGCAGTTTCATCATATCGTTCCATCGTATTTTCACCATCGTAATATGGTCTTTCTTCATAGTAAACTTCACGTTTTTCATCATCGAGCCTTCGTTGTTTCACCATCGTACAATCGTTGTTTCGCGTTCGTACCATCTCACCATCGCGTTTTCATCAACGTAAGCCATCGTGCGCATCGCGCTGTCACCAGTGTACCATCGTGAACGGAATTTAGTATGTTTCAGTCTACGCCTTCAGGTTAAGGGCCAATCAATTTCTTGAATTAGAGATATTTTAATTAACAGTTCCTTTAGGTTTTTCAATAAAGAAGGGCATAAGCAAAACCTATTGATGAAATTACACATTGACATGAAGGTAAAACGGCGAACCTCGATTTATAAAAAAGAGTTTATTGACGTGGGGAAATGTGTGACAAATAATTCATAAAAAAATGACATGAGAAACAAAATGTGCTTTCTTGTCCCCTTAAAAACACTATGAAGACAAATGTGCTTTCTTGTCCCTTAAAAAACTTGATCGGAGCACATTTGTCACACAAATGAGTTTTTTGGGGTAGACATTTGGGGTCCCATTTGTCTCATGTGGGACAAATGCGACCGCATCCGTCTTACGTAAGACAAATGTGCTCCGAGACAAATGTGCTCCTACAACGCACTGTTACCGCATATTTTCATCAAAATATTGCAGCATAAAAATGTTTTTGCAAGCACAACGGGAAAAGTAAACGAGCTACAATAGAAAGTTATGTACCACTGTAATAGGCAAATATTTGCCTGTTATAATATGTTTACTATTCAAATATTGAAAAATAAATCGAAAAAATAGACAGAAAAAATAGGCCCCCGTGTTCACTAAGAATAGATCAGGATCATGTGATCCTGATTTTATTTTCATTGTTTTATGTTACTAAAATAAATCGTGTTTTGCTAGAATTAAATGGTAACTATTCAAAATGTAAAAAAAATGCTGATTTGCTAATAGCCCAAACTTCGTTGACTGATAAAGTCAACAAATAACAAAACAAATACAAAAATATTCGGATCAAAATAAGGATCAAAAAAAAATTTTAGGATCAGGATCAATATTTGGATCAACAGTGAAATGCCCATATCTTGCAAAATTAACAATAAATTAATTATAAAATTTCATAAACTTACTATTGCAAGTCCATTTTTATCAAATTAATAAGATGTTTTAACTACGAGGATAAACAATGAAAACTATTAGTTTTTAAATTTGATCCTGATCTTGATTCTGATCCTTTAATCATTGTAAAACATGGGGCCAGGGCCCGGCCTTTAGCGGTGACCCAATGTTACCTTACATAGCTGTCCCGCTGCCAGACTGTCCTGCTGTAACGCTGTCCTGATGTAACGCTACCACGCTGTCAGACTGTCCTGCTGTAACGCTGCCACGCTTGTCCTGCTGAAACGCTGTCCTGCTGTAACGCTGCCACGCTGTCAGACTGTCCTGTTGTAACGCTGCCACGTTGTCCTGCTGTAACGCTGTCCTGATGTAACGCTGCCACGCTGTCAGACTGTCCTGCTGTAACGCTGCCACGTTGTCCTGCTGTAACGCTGTCCTGCTGTAACGCTGCCACGCTGTCAGACTGTCCTGTTGTAACGCTGCCACGTTGTCATGCTGTAACGCTGTCCTGCTGTAACGATGACCCGCTGCCACGTTGACCTGCTGTAACGCTGATCCGCTGCCACGTTGTCCTGCTGTAACGCTGCCAAGTTGTCCTGCTGTAACGCCGTCCCGCTGCCAAGTTGCCCTGCCTTTACACTGCCACGTTGTTCTGCTGTAACGCTGTCCCGCTATCACGTTGTCCTGCTGTAACGCTGTCCCGCTGCCAAGTTTGCCCTGCTGTAACGCCTTGCCCAAGTTGTCCTGCTGTAACGCTGCTACGTTGTCCTGCTGTAACGCTGTTCCGCTGCCACGTTGACCTGCTGTAACGCTGATCTGCTGTAACGCTGACCCGCTGCGACGTTGTCCTGCTGTAACGCTGCCAAGTTATCCTGCTGTAACGCTGTCCCGCTGCCAAGTTGCCCTGCTGTAACACTGCCACGTTGTCCTGCTGTAACGCTGTCCCGCTGTTCACGTTGTCCTGCTGTAACGCTGTCCTGCTTCTACGTTGTCCTGCTGTAACGCTGCCACGTTGTCCTGCTGTAACGCTATCCCGCTGCCAAGTTGTCCTGCTGTTCCGCTGCCCACGTTACCCTGCTGTAAAGTTGCCACGTTGTCCTGTTGTAACGCTATCCCGCTGCCACGTTGCCCTGCTGTAATGTTGCCACGTTGTCTTGCTGTAACGTTATCCCGCTGTCACGTTGTCCTGCAGCAACGCTGTTCCGCTGCCATGTTGTCCTGCTGTAACGCTATCCCGCTGCCAAGTTGTCCTGCTGTAACGTTGCCATGTTGTCCTGCTGTAACGCTATCCCGCTGCCAAGTTTGTCCTGCTGTAACGTTGCCACGTTGTCCTGCTGTAACGCTGTCCCGCTTTCACGTTTGTCCTGCTGTCCGCTTCCACGTTGTCCTGCTGTAACGCTATCCCGCTTCCACGTTGTCCTGTTGTAACGCTATCGCGCTGCCATGTTGTCCTGCTGTAACGCTATCCCGTTGTCACGTTGCCCTGCTGTAACGTTGCCACATTGTCCCGCTGTAACGCTATACCGCTGTCACGTTGTCCTGCTGTAACGTTATCCCGCTGTCACGTTGTCCTGCAGGAACGGCTGTTCCGCTGCCATGTTGTCCTGCTGTAACGCTATCCCGCTGCCAAGTTGTCCTGCTGTAACGTTGCCACATTGTCCTGCTGTAAACGCTGTCCCGCTTTCACGTTGTCCTGCTGTCCCGCTTCCACGTTGTCCTGCTGTAACGCTATCCCGCTGCCACGTTGTCCTGCAGCAACGCTATTCCGCTGACATGTTGTCCTGCTGTAACGCTATCCCGTTGTCACGTTGCCCTGCTGTAACGTTGCCACGTTGTCCCGCTGTAACGCTATACCGCTGTCACGTTGTCCTGCTGTAACGCTATCCCGCTGCCACGTTGTCCTGCAGCAACGCTACCCCGCTGCAATGTTGTCCTTCTGTGACGCTAATCCGCTGCCACGTTGCCCTGATGTAACGTTGCTACGTTGTCCTGCTGTAACGCTGTCCCGCTTCCACGTTGTCCTGCTGTCCCGCTGCCACGTTGTTCTGCTGTAACGTTGTCCCGCTTCCACGTTGTCCTACAGTAACGCTGTCCCGCTGCCATATTGTCCTGCAGCAACGCTATCCCGCCGTCATGTTGTCCTGCTGTAACGCTATCCCGCTGTCATGTTGTCCCGCTGCCACGTTGTCCTGCTGTAACGCTGTCCCGCTGCCATATTGTCCTGCAGCAACGCTGTCCGTATGTATAGACTGACAAAACAGTGGAATGTTGAGGTATTCGTGCTCTACGGATGACCAGTAATTTCTGGTTATTCATGAAATACTTTAATTCTACGTTTCTTTGCAATTTAAACATTTAAATATCGTTACTGTAATAAAAATACTGAAAAGCAACAGAGGGAATTCTAGATTTGTTTTATTTTTAATTACTTGTTTTCATGTTAATTCATTATTTTTGCGTATTGTACATTTAGTGACGTAATTACGTATACTACCTGGTATTTACAGGATTTATTTTCGACGAGTGGTATGAAATATGATAATTATAATTCCACAAGATGAAAAAAAACCTGTATTCACATATATCTAAAAACTGGAATTTTCTGTTTATTATATACATTTTTTTCTTATATGGGAGACGTCCGCTTCAATTTTGTAAATTGGCTGAATTTAGAAGAAAGCAGACAGCAAGACATCAATTAATATACGGAAAATGTTTCACTGCAGTGAAAAATTTATTTTTACAGTGAAGATGCGGAAAATGAAATCAACAGAATAATCGCACGAAAAATCGACATGACGCAGCTGGGACTCGAACTAAGGGTCTCTAGATACCACTAACTCACAGCGGTCATTGCGTAGTTAGCAATAGCACGAAAAAGATCGGCTGCGGCGTGTCGATTTTTCTTGCGATTTTTCTGTGTATTATCTCCTTTCTTTCATATAAATTATATATGCAAAAAGCTTTTATAAGTTTATATTAATTGTTGTTGTTTTTGTTGCTGTTTTTGTTGTGCTGTTGTTTAAGAATATGTCATTTATATTAATTGTAATTTTATATGAACATATATCACAATACATGTGCAGTTTTTGCGACTCCGTTAATACTGCTATAGTGTCACATTGCTTTGATCTAAAATACATGTATGTGTAATCTTGTTATTTATGCAATATCCATTGATTAAAGTAAACAAAAAATCTGATTTTCTGTTACATTTAGGTCGGTAGGTAGACAGGTATAACATTTTTTTTCTTTATTTTTTTCTTCTTTTTTTTAATATATGCATGGATAAATAACAAGAAACATATATTTTAGTTCAAATCAATGCGACTAGCACACGTATGTGCCTAAATTTAGACAAAGATAATCAAAATGATGCGTCAATGACAAATTAATTCTTCTTTTGTGGTTGTGGATGGTATCGGTGTATATGATAAATGTTAAATAGAATATTATATTCGTATAGCTTCAGGACTTCAATGAATTCAGTTTTGAACTTACATCCTGTGTCCGCTATCTATAAAGCGATCGGACCTAAAACAAGTCTCTCGCGGAATGACACTATTCGTGGTCTTTCTTTTCAATCATTTTCAGCTATTTTCCATTGATCTTTACACTGGTTGCGTTTTTACTTCCACTGTTCACCATGCACTTAATTATTTCCGGAGCATTGTACGATTTGTTTTGCTAGTAATCAAATCATCCTCTTGAGATTGCTAAGTAACCTGCAATGTAATTAGTATGTTTAATAATAATTCCTTTTCTAGCAAATAGTTCACGAAAACGTGCCTTTTTGTTGATTTAATGATTAAAAGTTTGTTGATTTCTTTTTGTAATAATTTAGATGATAATGCATGCTTTTATTGTTTGTTTTTTTAATATCTGGTTTCATAAAACTTACAAATTGTTAACGACACTAGATTATTTTCCAGGTTGCTTAACCCAAAGTCAAAGCAACAAATAAACAGATAAATAAATGGATAAATAAATAAATAAATAAATTTGGGTTAGGGGGGAACTGTCCCAAAGATTTTTAGGTAAGGTTGGGAGTTATTTATTATTTATTTTATGCTCCACAAAGGGAGAGCATATAGTCGCCGCTTTGCCCATCCGTCCGTCCGAGCGCACGAGAGGGTAGTTATTGGGTACTAAATGGTACTAAATACCCAACAACTACAAATCCTACTCACTCCGTATGTATTGTTGGGTAGTTTCATTGATTGTTGGGTACTTTTTTACACAGTAAAATACCCAACAAGAATAAAAATGTAAGAATGTCTGTCCAGATGTCCGTCAGTCCCCATTTTAACTCACATTACTCTAATATACAAGAGGTATCAACAAGAAACTTTGTAGGTAGATAGATCCCATTTAGTAGAAGCGCGAAGCAAAAGAAACGTAACTTTGCCTTGCCTAATTTTGGAGTTATTGCCCTTTGTTCATTTTTACACTTTCAAGTTTGTCCGGGACAAAACTGAAACTACAAAGAATCGTTACTCTCCCTTGCCTAATTTTGGAGTTATTGCCCTCTGTTCATTTTTACACTGTGAACTTTTTCCGGGACATAATTCTGAAACCACAAGAGGTATCAACGAGAAACTTTGTAGGTAGATAGATCTCTTTGAAAAGAAGTGTAGGGCATAAGAACCGTTATTCTGTCTTGTCTTATTTTGGAGTTATTGCCCTTTGTTCAATTTTATACTGTGAACTTTGTCCGTGACATACCATGAAACTACAAGAGATATAACAAGAAGAAGTTTCTCTGTGTCCAAAACCTATTCGGGGAGCATCACCCGGTGCAACCGGCCCTTAATTGTTTAAATCCAGTCATCATTACTTTGAACCATCGTAATATATATATACTTACATTCAATGATGGTCGGTGTTTTTACAATAGGTAGGGTAAGGTTGTCACCAAAACACAGGATTTGTTTTAAGACTAATTTATATAAAATTTCAACTTATACACATATAGTTCCTCGTTGTTACAGATGATTGTAAAACAATGATTGAATTTTAAATAGAGGATATTGAATGAGTGTAAGTTTAATATTAAAGTAAATTTATTGAACGAGTTGAATAAAACCATATTATGCGAGCCTCTGCAACAAGTTCAATAAATTTAGTATTGAATTTACACGAATATAATATTCTTTTCATCACATATATTTAAAATAAAAACGTTGAACTGTTAAAAGAGTCAGTTTTCATTGTCGCGCCTATAGTGTAACGCTAGCATTAGCACGTTAACGCTATAGCGCAAATGGCATCATTACACTCCTGCACCGCGATTTATGTGATACATGTAATATGACTGTATTTATCACATGTATACCCGTGTCGATTTCGCGACTCCGTAATATGGTATTGCACGGCCGTGCATATATTTTGACGTGACTTCATTTACGTTATAAAGACGCGCTAAATGTTAGCGTTACACTATAGGCGCGTAAATGAAAAATGATTATTTTGCACTAAACAGTATGGGTATGTGATAAATAGCATATTATATTCTAGTAGGTTCATTGAACCTACACTCATTCAATATCCTCTATACATTTCTATTTCATATAATAAGTTGCATGAAAAAAATGACGTTTATAGATTAGCAAATGACGCAACGGCCGTTTAACAATACGCTAAACGGAACGTTTATTTAAATAAAATAAATAAAATCAGAATCTTTCTATTAAAACATTGCTACAGTTATAATAATGTGTAATATTATCTATAAGATGTAAAATAAACTGATATTGTGTATATAATAAATTGAGGATATACAAATAAACACTAACAATAGTATGGAAACCCTGAATGAAGAATAACAAGAATTAAGGGGAAACGCTCCCAAATCAACCTAATTAAGAAGCCTTGATGATGTTCCGGCCTGGAAACAACATGAACTACATGAATACAGCAATATACAATACAATATACATAGAATATGGATCTGTCATGTGATACAACATTTCTCATAATTAATTATATATGAGAAAAACTTACAATATATATGTATGTTTACCATGTATAGACTACATGTATGTATGTATGTATGTATACCAGCTCAATAATATATTTGAAAGATGCAAAGTTATACATAATGCTTTTTATACATGTATATATGTCTAATTCAACATACTTATGACCACGGGTTTATATTACAATATATCCGTGTTATGACGAAGTGTGATAATTATACAGAGTATAATAATAATTTAAACAATTATTAACATTATCAGTTGAATTCTATCAACACCTGCATTATACATATAGAAAAATATTTATGTTATCAGACTAAATATAAGTTGTAAAGATTTTAGCAGGATATATAGATTATATATACGTGCACTGCCTTTGAAAACATATCATTGTGGCAGATTTTCAAATACGCGCAAAGTTAATATTTTTATAATTTATATAACCGTAGGCCGTATTTAAAAAATATTTTGACATTAAAGTCCTGTTGTAAGCCGTAACCCAATAATTGTTTACCTTTCGATACACGTGGTTGAACGCGCCCTCTAGCGTCGTAATCGAGCAAATGTTACTGTTGTATTGTGTCGGAGAAAATGGCGACGGGAAAAGAAAGTAATGATGGAAATAGATTTATTGAAGATTCTAGTGTAATCAGACAAAATCCGGTAATTATCTTTATGTAATTTGTTTCACATCTTAATTGTGTAGAGACCATGATAAAAATTATTATGACATTTTGTGTGAAAGAATATAAAATCGCCTTTGTACTTTTATAGAAAGTTACGATTGGTAAAATTTTAAGAGGAAATACAGCGTGCAGTGTCAGAAATCTTGAGATTTCCACCAGATATGATTATTGTTGATAATGGTACGTTATATGTCTGTGTTTCTAATATAATTGTGTTTTATATTCTGGAATTATCATGTCAATTTAGGCAAGAATTACTCCGCGATCAATAAAAGCCCTCAGAGTTTATAATGTCAAAATTTTATTGTCGTGAAATGGTGGACCGCAAAAACCACAGATGTTCGTTTATTTAGAAGAATGTTTAACCCGTTCACAAACAAAAACATGTATTTTGTTATATTTCTTACTCATATGTATAAACGCCTGTGTAAGTTTGATGTGTTATTATTCAGCTATAATGTGATATTGCTTATTAATTGAGATGAGAATTCTTGATAACTATGGTATAATATAATTATATAATGAATATTTTATGTTTGTGCTGTCAATAGAATTGTTTTATTTGTATTAAGTGATGATGTGTCTATATAGATTTGCAATGTATTAAATAAAAGATTAGCATCACATGCTAAAATGGGATATAATTTTCTTGTAAACCCTTGTTTTAAATTTTGGAAAAAGAAACATATTTTGCTTTGTTAACAAGGCCTCTTATTATTGCAAGAAGATTGTGTGCTAAAAGAAATTTATAAAGACACAACAAATTAATTAATGATAATCAAATTTTTACCACTATTTCTCAAATCATTTCATATCAAGCTGGTAAGTTTTTATGTTAAGATTTATACAAGATGAATGGAAAATAAAGCACCAATTGAGTCTTTTCAACAAGATTAAAATATGTAACGTTTTTTTTTTTTTTTTTTTAAATTTTTTTTATTAAAATTGCTCAGCATTTTTGTTTACGAAAAGCTAAAATGAGTCATTATATTTTGCAGACAAATTTTGCTCTATCATAATGTACATAGTTGTATGTCTCCAGATTAACATTTCAAATGCATTCTAAGACTTACACCAAGAGAAAATATTGTAAACATTCCTCTGCATAATAAATAGTCTGTTACTGCTAGAGTGTAACACAATGTTTCTGAAATCATATAATTGTTAGCATTTTATATTAGATGCTGTATGTTGATTAATCTGTCAGTTCAGATATCTGTTTATATTATTTTATAAATATTTAATCTGTTTATATTTTGTGTGAAGTATATTCACTGGCTCATTCTTACATGTATTTGTAAAGATAAATTCTTATAGGGGAATAAGCCTTTCTATCATTATATGTTAATTTTAATAGTTTGTAATTCCAAGATTTTTTAGTAGTTATCTATAATATCTAAGACTATCATGATAGTATGAAATGTATGTTTTTTTTGTAGTCATTTCAGACTGAAAATTTAGCGTGACAATAAATCAATTCCGAGTATATCTTTGAAGTTAGTCTTCTGAGAGATTTTTCAGAAAGTTGTTTATTTTTGGAACTGTGTAGTTGATATATAGTGTATTAACAAGCAATTAGATGGACTTTAAGATAGATTTATGGATGTCTTTGGCGTTTACTTAAAAGGATAGATATATTAGGATCGAAATTTAGTATAACAATTCCATACAAAATTTTTTGTGCTAATTTAGACATTAAGTATCTAGTATATAAGGATTGAAATTTAGCTTCACAAATATTGATTCTACCATAAAATAGGATGTGAAAAGTTCAAAACCTTAAAAAAAAGACAGCCAGCCTTTTAACAGTTTCAAAATGATTTCAATTAGAGAGACTGTTACAATCTGATTTTCGATCTGTGATTATTTTGGGTTATAGGAAAGGACATCTGGTGTCAGCCTATCACAAATGTCATTCTCAAATTTTGAGCACTCAATTAAATAGAGGATATTTGTTAAGTTCAGTGTAAGATCGGACTATATTTCACCAAGTGAGCACCTAAAGGTTTATTTCACGAGTGGTGCAACCACGAGTGAATTATCAAATTTAATTCACTGATATATTTTTATAAACCATCGAAAAGCATGTAATAAATGAACGTATTATATCATTGTGAAAAAATTCAGTGGATTTTCATAAAATTAGTCACATAAATGATAGAATGCTAATTGTTTAAAGATATTAAAAAAGTCAATTGTGTAAAGTCCGTTCCAGACACACTATCAATTTGTCTCTGAAAAAGGAAATGAAAATCATCTCTAAAATAATTTTTTTACCTAATTTTGAAAATTTTATGATGAAGAAATATAAGATGAAGAGTATAATAATCTGTAGAATAAAGAAAACAATTTTTGAAAGATGTTTAAATACGCTAATTCAACACCTAAGTACAAACTCATTTGTAACCTCAGAACTTTATTGATTTGTAACTTTAGAATGCATTTTCAGTTACAATTACAGTAATGTTTATTATCAGATATTAAAAAAAAAACGCTTTGTGTAATTGGAAAATTGTATATTAAATATGATATATATAATTCATTTATCTACATATTTGATATTTACCCAAGATAATTGTCAGACTAACACCATTACACCTTTTAAAACTTATCAACATTCATGTTGATTTTATCAGAAGTTTCCTCATTAATTTTCACAGGAAATGGCAGAAGTATCGGACTAATCCTATTAGTATATGGTTTGGTATTTTGATATTATAAAATATACAACACAGATTGTGATAGATTATTTGTACACATAGTGTGAACAACACTACCATTATACTGTTTACATTGTTGATCACTATAGACAATATTATTGTAATAAAATGCTAAAGGCATGGACTTAAACATTGCTGGCTTGAATATATATACTGGTAAAAACACGTCTTGGTAAAGATAAGTCAGGTCTATATAATTATTCTACATATATCGAAAAGTCATATGATATGTCAGTGAAAAACCACCTAATATAACAATTGTTTATATTTTTAGAATTTTGTGGTTAGTTTTTAAATCATTTGATCAGATTATTCATTCTCTTAAAACATTGTTATTTTTTTTAAACAACAAAAACAGGATGTGTAGAAATCTTGGGAGATTTTTCCAGCTTAAGTGTTCTCATAATTAACTTGATCTTTACTTCTCATTGTATAAAAGATGTAATTTTGTGTAATTAATGTATGAAGCATAGTCATTGAGTGAGTGTAAAGTGTAGTGGTGTTTTAATATAAACTTCACTGGTGCTTTTAATCTTAATATTGATCTACTTATAAGCTTTCCCATTTCATGGAATGCATGTCTATAACTTTCATGATTTTCTTTCAATTTTTCAGCTGTGTTTGTATATAAAATAACAAACATTTGCTTAAACCTCTAGTTTTGCTATATCATATAGTTAATGTATTCTTGGACTAGCACCTGGGATATTTTAGCTTGAGTAGATAGGTAAGTTATTTAGATAGATGAATATTTTGTTCGATTAATCACAGGTAATTATTTGAGCCAGGTAACTTATGTATAGTAGGTTAAGTTTAGAACACTTATAAGGTAAGAGTTTAGGCAGAATGTTAACTATGTGTACATTAGTGTTTATTTCATACAGTTCTTTACTCTTCTCACATTTCAATGTTACTATACTAGGTTAACTTTTATAATATTACAAACAAACATTTTAAAGATGATGATTTTGACGTTTAGTGAAACCAATAATTTGTTTTCAGTCCAAAACATTCATGTAAGTTGACACACGCCTTTGGTATCATTGTTAAATGGTGGCACCTTTTTACTTGTACTTAGATTGAAAGGAGAAGACTGTGGAAATGTTTAACATCTATTTCATGTCCAGTAAGATTGATTGTGTGGTTATGACAGTATTATGAAACCTTACCAATGATTTCCTTAATTGAAAATTCTTTAAAATGAATTAACTTGCTCCATTAAAATATAGCACTTAACTTTCTTTTATTACATTTATCAGTAATAGGTCATAATATAGCTTATGTTTTACTTGACTTAAAAATAAGACTGTGAGGTGTGTAGTTTATAAGCTATCTCTCTTAAGATCTACAATCTTTGAATAATGGCCGTGTCTGAAATATAAGATACAAATGTATATCAGATCTGTAAGATATATGTCATATATATCATATAAAATACATTAAACAGCTGTTTTAGTTATGGGATAAATAACATTTTTTGTTTGAATTGAAAGATTATGTTGCATCTTGATTTAACATTATACATTATTATACTGATAAAGTATACTTATAAAGTGCAACTGTACATTTATCTTTTTTTAAACACAATCCAAATTTCACTGATGATTTATTACACTGTCAGTACTAAGTACCAATACTTAACTTTTTGTATAAATTTAAAATCTGTTAAATGAAGTATCCACACATCAAGAATAATATGATCCTACAAATATGTTCAAATGTAAAGAAAAGAAATTACAAAATTGTATCAGTGGTGTTGTAAATTGTGTGTCAGGAAAGTTTTAAATTATTATCTTTAAAGATTATCTGTTTTTGGTTTATTAACCCATAGCTTGCTGGTTATGACTGAATATACTAGTGCAACCAGTGCAAGGTCACTAATGTGTTTTTCAATCAGTATTTTAAGATAATAATCTGCCTATCTTTGTTACATTTATTTATCTGTTTAATTATGGTTCTGATGAAGGTCATAAAGTGACTGAAACTAGTTGACTCCAATAAAATATTGTAAACTTGCCTTGGTGTATTACTCTTTATTTTGAACTTGCATTGGTTATTTATGAGACAGTTCAAGACATAAGCATTTTCAATATCACTTTAAAAAAAAGTTAATTCAGTGATTTTTCTCACTTAATTGGGAAGAGGCCTTAGCCGCTCGATTTTGGGAAAAATTATCGCTAAAATTGCTAATTTGGGAATTAAAAAAGCAGGTTTAACTTCTGAATTTGGGAAAACTGCATGATTTTAAAGAAAATTT